TCGAACAGACTGAATACTTCCCTGAGGACTGTAATGGTAGTTAACATAGTGTTCGACATTTGGAAGACCTCGGCCCACTGCTGCATGCATGGATGATAATTAAGTAGTTCTGTCCTTTGACTGGTCCTGCGAAATCAAGGCGAACTCTTGACCATGGTTTCGTGGGCTTTGGCCAGGAAAACAGTTCGCATTTCCGTGGCGATTTTGCTGCTAGGGCAAAATTAGAACAGGAACGTGTTAACTCCTCAATTTCAGAATCCATAAGCGACTAGTACATATAACTTTTTGTTAAAGCTTTCATCCTGTTGATGTAAGACTTTAGATTGAAGTTCGTTTAGGATGACGACATGTTCACCAAACAAGATACAGTCTTCGACGACCGATAGTGCATTTCGTCTCTGGAACCATTGTTGTAGCTGTGCATCGGAAAATTTTCGAGGCCACTGTGAGTGGTAAAACGTGCTCACCTGTGACAGCAACCGGTTCCGTAAGGTGGCGTCTCGAATCTGAAAGATATTGGAAGCTGGCTCACAGTATACGAGAGTACACGGCTAACTTTCGTTTCGATTGAGACATTTGCAATGACAGTGTCTTGTGGTTGGTGCTGTTCGTCTAACAACCGTGACAGACGATTGGCCGTACATACAGGAATTCCTTTCTTCGAGCCGAATATAACAAGAAGCGGTTTGTGGTCCACTAGAAAGGTAAAGTGACGGCCATATAACCTTTTGTGGAAATGTTTCACTGCAAACACAATATTGAGAGCTTACTTTTCAATTTGACTATTCTTTCTGCTGCTGTCTGTGAACGAGCGGCATGAGCGACTGGCTTCTCAGACTCATCTGGGAAAATGTGGGTGATGACTGCTCCAACTCCATAGCTGGATGCATCCGATGCCACTAGAATTGGCAGTTTTGGATCGTAGTGCGTTAGCATTAGTTCTGAGCTTAGTAACAATTTGATGCTGTCGAAGGCTTCCTGACATTCGGTAGTACAGACCCACGGAACGTCCTTCATCAGCAACCGGTTTAAGGGTCCGCGGAGGTCGTGCATGGACGGCAGGTAGGTATCGTAATAACTCACCATACTCAGGAATGATCTCAACGTCGCTACGTCTTTCGGCGGAGGCATTTCCTTGATCGTCTTTATGTTTGATGGATCAGGTCTTCGTCCATTTTGGTCAATGATAAAGCCCAGGTATTTAATGTAGGTCATGAGAAACTCACACTTGTCCATTCGTAGGTGAAAACAATACTCCTTTATTCTGTCAAGCACGAGTTCCATTCGTTGGTGTAGTTCATCCTGGTTAGATCCCATGATAATGATATCGTCCAGCTATGCAGCGGCATAAGGTATTCCCTGTAGCATCGTATACATGATCTGCTGAAAGATTGCCGGGGCCGAGTGAACGCCAAATGGTAGGCGTGTATACCGGAATAGTCCTCTGTGGGTGTTAATCGTTAGCAACGCACGCGATTCTTCTGACATTTCAATCTGGAGATATGCGTCTGACAAGTCCAGTTTGACAAGACACTTGCCACTGTTCAGACGTGCAAAAAGGTCCTCAGGGAGGGGTAGAAGGTATCTGTGGTCTTCTAAGGCGGTATTCAGGCCAGTAGAGTAATCTGCACATAAGCATATCTTTCTATTTGGTTTCTTGTCAACCACAATGGGGACTGCCCATGAAGAGAAATTCGTCGATTTGATAACTCCGGTTGACTGTAATCTGCCAAGTTCTTGGTCGACGATTGAAACCACTGCATATGGAATTGGTCTCTTCGGTCGGAAGACTGGCTTTGCTTCTGACCGCGGGGAAAGATTGGCTTTGGTTTCGTGCACAATCCAGACCATGTTGAAACACCTGCATATACTTCCGCTGTAAAGACTCCGTCCACTCTGCATATGCGTCGCTTACTTTGTTGCACACGGAATCCAAGAGAATATCAAGCAGTACTATAATCTCAACCCAATCGAGACCAAGTAAGTTTAGTTCGGGATGTTTCGTTATGTAGCATACTCCTATGAACTGACAATCTTTGAACATTAAAGTACAACAGATTTCACCGGCCAAGTCCAGCAGTCCTCCTGAAGCGTTGGTTGAAATCCGAGTCGTTCCGGGAACAGATGGCTCACCGATTTTCGTCCAAATTGTCTTGGAAATAAGCGCGATGTCTGAGACAGCGTCAACTTGGATGCGTACGGGCACCTGGTTCACAACCACTGTTACGAACCTGCGTTTTGCGGTCCCCGTATCGAAGGTAGTAAAGACGGGGTTAATTTGAGGTCTTTGCTTTTGTTATAACGCTGTGCCCGCAAACGGCCGGTTGATTCCCGCCTGCCGATAAATCTACGCCTTTACGCCTGCTCTCTTTGACGCCTTGACAAACACGATAGGAAGGAAGACAAAAGAAGACTCAGCGGACCAGAGTTGTATTAGGACAGAGAATGTTCATATTTATATGTCGGTCTCACCAACCCTCCAAACATCACCAGGCGGATTTGGCTGTAAGCCCACGCTCCACACTTGCTTGTCCGCTCCGTCTGTCCAGTTCACCGTCTTGCTCGGGCACTCCAGTCTTCGGCCGCCTACCCGATGCATGGCAACGCATGTGATGTCTGACGAGTGATTTCATCAGCTTCCGGTCAGGCCTTGGCAACACGCCCGCTGTCTGATGCGCGATTTCATCAGCTTTCGGCTGGGCACTGGCAACACGCTCGCAGGGCCTTACCCAAGCAGGATTTGGGGCAAACACGCGCGCGTTAGCAATCAGCTTTCCCTCCCAGCTGTCAGTTTTGTTAACGATGTGGGTACAAACGTCTTGGCGGGTTTGGTGCAAGCGTGCTTGTTGAAAATGGTTGCACGGCAATGATCCTCCTTGGGCTCTCGTTTGTTGCATTTTTGACAAAGATGTTCCTTGAACGGGTAGAATGTGACGAAGTGCCATTCGCCACATTGCCAGCATGCGGACTGTGGTTTGTCTGACTTCAATGAGTTTTGGACCGTCGCTGTACTCCCGCGCTGGTTTGCTACCGCCAACCCATCCACGGGACATAGACTGCGGTCTTGGGCAATCATGTTCGTGTCGTGCTTCAAGTTGGTTAAACTCTGGCATTCGGAAGTGATAGACATGAGATTGATGGACGGGTCCCGCTCAATTTTATTAAGCAGCTTCATGCATATTTCGGCATCCTCGGGCGCTTGGTGATCATAATCGAAAAGTAAGGCCTTGAACTGGTCGTCTGACATTTCTTTTAGCCTGAAACGCTCGCAAGGACGATTGACGGTACTGGCGTAAGTTTGTAATACGTTCCGGATGGCAGGTTCGTGGCACCGACAAGGATTCCGGACTGTAAGCGAATAGTAAACGAAGCTCAACAACCGAATTGTAAACGCATATACGACGACAATGCTCCGATGAGCCGAATACCAGAACGAACGAACGGAGCGGAAACACGTGTATTCGGCGGCACGACAGGAGCAAATGTTATCCGGTACAAGCGTATAGAAAGCAAATAGTTTTGTCAAAGGTAGAGGCAGTGATAGTTTTACCGTTTGGTTCGTCATGAATACGATACATATCAAGATAAGAAAAGGGAACAAAACAGGTACTAAAAATAACGTATGGTTTAAACGAACCAGTGTGGTTTCACTTGCGTTACAAGTTACGAAATCGTCTGACGCGCAGTTAATGAACTTCATGCAGCTGTATCAGACGCTGAATAAGGAAGACTGTTCACCAAAAATGTCAGTTAACAGAGGTACAAGTTGGTCAAAGGCAAAATCTTTGGGGTATTTTGGCAAAATAAAATGGAGAAACTTGTCATACTGATTGGTTTCCAGCTTTCGCAAAAGTAGTATGCACATCTACCCGTCGTCAGCATCAGTGAATTCGGACCGGAAAACGTCTTCGTATCTTCTGAACCAAGATTCGAGGGTTAGGCCGGAGCCTCTATGATTCTTCAGAAGTTAAATCATCCAAAGTGATGGGATATCGACTATCCAGTCAAAGGCAGGGTGTATAAGGTTGCGATAAGGCTGGTGTTACTGTGTGGATCAGAGATATGGCCACTTCGGACTGAAGACTTGGTCGTCTTTTAGCACCAGCGCTTTGGGAGTATTGCTATCATTTAGTAAGAACAGCGGTTGATTAATCGGTGTTTGGAAACAACCTCGATGGTGCCTCACTAGAGTGCCAGTTAAAGTTGGAGCATTTATGTTGGCTAGATCATGCCCTCGGTGCGCTCGCTGACCGCCTTCATGGGTGTGCATAATATACTGGCGCCGAACCAAGTTGGGCAGAACCGTGAGATGGCCAGCCAATGGCGTAGTATAAATGCATGGAGAAATTGACAAAGAAACCTGGTCAGATTAGTGCGTGCCATATTTGTTGACAAGAGCTTCGGTATGCTCCATCTCAGTGGTTGAAGACCCAGTCGAACATAGCATATCTAGTTTCCTACGTTTCGTTGTTGATAGTACACCTTGATTAATTTAACTCACTTCTGCTTAGCTCTCATCTTTGTATCCATTTTGCATCTACCTCATCGTTATCACCCTTATTACTGCTATCCTGGTGTCGCTAATTGTAGAAACTAGCTGCATTGCAGTTCGGTGTCCAGACCAGTTGAACTAAATGGCGACTAGCGGATTGTTTCGTCTGCAAGCAGTTAAGTTCGTCGATTAGACAACTTCTACGCCTCAGCCAGGTGCAGCAGATAGGTAGGATCTAAGTGTGGCTGTCCTAACGAGGTGATCCAGGTAGGAAATAGCAAAGATTACGTACGTCGTTTCTATTGAGTGTAATGACTCTTAATACTGGTAGACGAGGACAGTTCCGTGGACTATGGAAACACGTAGACCACTGAATGTCGTCAGAGTATAACAGCTAGTTAGGACGCGGTAGCATTTTATTGACATAAACGCAAGCGAAGGACTCAGGGCGACAGAATTAAAGCGGCTGGTAAGCAGAGACGTTGGAACGGGATCGTTGTAAACGTACCCATTTTTACTGCGTCTTGATTTATCAACCGAAAGCCGTTTGGTGGGTGTGCGACATTTTCGTCGGGACCGTTGTGAGTTAATCAGGACCAGCTGAGAAGTGGACGTTGATGTGTGAGATTCCATGCTGCTTGAATCACGAGCGGATCGATGCGCAGCGGTCAGTGCTGGGGTAGATGCAGTCAAAGGAGTGCGTGCAGTTTCCGGGGACGCAGGGGACGACCTTGACATGACATCCGCTGCGGCCATTATGGCAGGATCAGCGAAAAGCGCCCGCGGAAGCGACTGTCTCAGGGTGGAGCGTGTCACACAGGACTTGGTCACAGCTGGTGTACTAAAATATAAGGTCAGTAAGAAAAGTATAAACCAGCGCAACTGTTACGAAAAGTATGTAATATGTAAACTTATGGGGTGTGGAAGATGATAGAGCATAGTTAGAACAGAAAATCGGTTTCTTTCTCATAGAACAATTAGGAAAATTTAGTGGCACCACAAAAAGTCCAGAGTATGGAAGGCACACAGAGAGGATCAGCACAACTCACTGTGAATGGCAAACAAATTGGAAGGTTGAATGGGCCTTACAAGTACGGGTTCAAGTACGATAGCTGGAACCTAATAACAAATGTCAAGTCCATAGCAGCTAGTATTTGGGAAGAGCGCGGTGGTGTAGTGCGCAAACATGAGTTTACTTTGCATTCAATATGGTAGCAACAGGCTAGAAATAGTTCGTGATTAAAATCAAGCGGGCAATATCAACGGAGCGAAAACAATCATACCGTGCGCTCTATCACGTCCGACTATCGGACTGCCCAGTTACAATGTGCATAGTGCTATCCGTGGTGTTAGGTTGATAATGACGCAGGGCAATGAAAACTGTAAGGGAGCTATCCCGTCAAAACCGCTCTATATTCGTAAGGTGAACAAATGTCTGCAAACTGTGGACGATCTGATCCTGAAAGTTTGCCCGGAGTAATTATACTTTACAACTAGCGCCTTTCTTTCCTCTAGTTATTCTTATCAGCAGAGTCATCAGCAAGATTATAGCTATGTGGCAGTGGGGTGGCAATAAAAGCACCGATGCATCATTGCTGCTGACTGTACCCATCGCACTGAAATCCTGGAGTGAACACCGAAAGTTGCGGCTACTAACGACGTCATGCTGCAACTATGAATTTAGTGTCATACTCAAAATGCATCTGAGAAACGTAGAACGCCGAACATGTGAGACGAGAGTAACCGATGCGACCCAGTCACACTGCGGAGACCTACGAGGCGGTTCCGCAGTTGTAAGTAGCGGACTTAGAGCGGGACTCTATCGGACGCTGTAATCACTGAGATAAACGAGCAAACCGATCAGAAATTGTTGACTTTTGTTCACTGAGGCAGTGGGTAGCGGTTGCGACTGAAAACCGGAGAAGTAAGATGCGGTGGACTACGATCCTAATCCCACACAGTTTAAAAAGAAACAGAGAGGAAGAGGATTGAAAAACAAACGAAGAAAGAAAGCGAAAAGTGATTCTGATATTATCACAAAAGAAAAATACCCGCGTTAGGGTCGGAGGATCAATTTGAAGTGCTCGTTGTGTGAATGGATTGAGACGCACAATCTCAATGTGGATCACGATTACCAATGGAGTGAACCCTGGTCATTTTGATTACCTGGACCGCAATTGATTAAGTAGCTACATATTGGATGTTGCCCGCTCGAAAACACTGCACTCTACAACTATTTATCAACTTGTTTGACATCATCAAAGTTTGTGATCGAAATGAACATGAATGACTTGGATTTTTCAAGCTCTACCGGAGTGGAAGTTCTACCAGGCGAACGACTGACAAACCTGGAGTATGCGGACGGGACAGTTATTCTTGGATCTGATGCATTGGTTATGTAAACACTACTGCAGACTTATGCGCAGCGCTGCACGCTTCGGCATGTACTTTGCACCAAATTGCAAAGTGCTGTTGCAGGACTGGGCCGACATACCTCCGGTTTTCGCTATTTCCGAATGACCACTGGAAGTGATGGATCGGTTCACTTATCTTGGTAACTGTACCACTTATGGTGGTCACAGAATAGAAGAGGTTAATTGGCATATCAATAGGGCCTGTGTGGCTTGCCAGAGACACAACCATCCATGGAGACGGCGGGATAGCTGCTTGTCAGTGAAAGGTACGGTGTATAACGCTACGATAAGACCTTTGTTACTGATTAGATCAGAGACCTGGCCAGTTCGCAGTGAAGACATTAAGAACTTGATCGTGTTTAACCACCAGTGCTCACGAAGTATTCCTCACGTCTGGTGGGAACACCGGGTGAGCAATGCTGAGGTCCGCCAGTTGGTTTTTGGAATGTAGCCTTCTGGTGCCACTCTCGAGTTTGTTAAATTTTAATCGCTTGCGTTGGCTAGGCTATGTCCTCCGTATGCCCGTTGATCGGCTTTTACGGCGTGCATTATACGCCGTGGCTGCACCAAGTTGGAGGAAACTGCGAGGTCAGTCCACGGCATAACATAGAAGCTTGAAGAAATTGACAAAGAAACTTGGTCAGGCTGGTGCATGTGTGGGGCCTAGAGACGGTTCACACCAATGGTTGGAGACCGTAACAAACATGGCACAGTTACGTAATCAGTGGCGTTCTTGCATCTAATTGTTGATCTTCGTCCTATGCCGATTGCTTTAACGCACTTCCTTCTTGCTTGCATTTTTGTCACACTTGATTTGCCTTTAATCCCACTGTCTGGCCGTTGTTATTCATGCGATGTGAGTTGTGGCAACTGGATCCACCGCATTTCAGTGTTCGAATCGTATTTGTTCGGCTGAACTGAACTGAATTGGAAACTCTATCGGACATGGCGCAGCCGCATAGTCAGTGGCGCTCCTGTATTCGGCTACTTGTATATAGCGTTATTTTGCATTCCATTTCGATTCGTGTTACGCATTTGCTTTTTGATTCCATTTTCGTATCGTATTTGTGTTCAAATTCACTTTCCTGCCGTTGTTATTTATTGTTATTCTGGTGACGCGAATCGTGGCAACTGAACCCACCTCACCTGGGTGCCCGGAGCATGGTTGTTCAACTGAGCTGAATTGAACGTACCCAAGCGCGTAGTGCTACTTGTCAGCCTATTCGGCGGTATGTACGTAATAGCTGGGTAATATCACAGCAGTTATCTCGTCCGCATGTTCCAAACTTGACATTCGATTACCAAAGAGAACCACCAATCCACAAGTGGATGGAGGTAGGAGAGAGTCATTCATGATGAATTCGATCGCCAGGTTGGTGGGAAAAGGAGATGTGACGAAACTGATGAACTCTAATTGTCGTGGTGAACTCAGTGGAATATGTCGCAGGACTTCATATGATCACGGGAATAGTGGTACAAGGATATTAGAAAAGAGAAAGGTACCTAGTACGCTCTTCAGAGTTAGACATTATCAAGATAAGGAACGACCATCCTACTTAAAAGCAACCTCCAAGTTAGAGGGGAACAGTGGGATGGGCTGTTTGTAGACACTGTGAAGCTTAGGATAAAAATGCGATCAATGCACCCACTACTGTGGCAGAGACGGCCCGTAGTCTCAAAAATTGCAAGTCTGCCTTGTAATTCGAGGGCGCGGGTTCGAGCCTGCGTAAAGACCGGGCGACCCTCTCATTATCCTTAGCCCCCGGGCGACTAGTGGTGGCTGCGCAACAGCGAAGCGTCGGTACTGCGTATCGGTGTACTGCTGATGCCTACCTGGGCGGAGCTAGCCTTTCACTTATCAGTCACGAGGATCAGTGAGAGGCCGCAGTATGATGAACTAACATCATGGTTTTCAAAAGTCCTTTACCACTTTTTAAAGACAGGAATGACTGCTGACAGTCTCTGTGCCAAACAGTGCGCCGAAGGCCGTGAATTATTAGTCCTTCGACAAAGACAGCGGGGAAGAGCATCTAGGTTAGGTGCTTTGACCCGCTTTCGTAGCGCTAGCTCATGTCGCATCTTGTTGATAGTGGAAGTTGCTAGCTCAACGTCCCAGATGGGTTCAGGCAATCCAGCAAAAAAATGCGATACACCAATTCAGCTGAATTGAACCGCGAGGTTTTCAGCCCATGTTCTTCGTAGACATGAATGAGAATGAAGAACTCGTTTATTTTTATATCTATCATTTCACCCGCCATTGAGGTCTGCTCCTAGCCATGTCAGCAAGTGTATCCAGCTAAACATGTTCATCGTTTATCAGACCCCAACCAGGGAGACGAAATGTTCCAACGCAGGCCATCACCGAACTAAAGGCCTACATTCTTCCTGACCAAGTGATCGCTTGGCCCTCCATCTTTTTTTATCCACACCCCCGGCGGGCAAACAACGCACGTCACGGGAGTTAATGGGCTGGCATGCGCAGCATGTGGCCAAGTCATTGGAGCCTGGTGCGTGATATAACGATGCTGAGCGGTTCAATTCTTCTTCTTGCGCCATAAACGTGTCGAACACGCGCAATGCGCACATACTGTTCCCACCAGATATGAGCCACACTGCGAAAGCAAAGGTGATCGAGCGTAACCAGTTCCTGTATGCCGGTTGATCTAATGAGCTAAGACCGTCGCAACGAGACTGGACCTTAACGTGGTGCGACGGTTTGCGTACCTCATTGACCCATTGAGCTATACTGGGTGATGCCTCCGAGCATCTTGAGAGCTACTCCTACCAGGTTGGTCAATGGTGAGAGGTCAGACAAACTCAGTCTCCTGGTCCTCCAGGTTGGGGGTTTGAAATGGGATGGCGTCCATTTCTGTAAAACTAAATCACTGCCACCCCGCTGCCTTGCGGACAGGCTTTTAAGCCAAAGGCTTTGGATGAGGACCCTAATCGTTCTCCTGTCTAGGTCTGGGCTCCCTGGCAGTATCCCAGCCCACATACAACCATGACATTTTCTTCAAACATAAACTTCATCCTGCATCGGCCGTCACGCAGATTATCAAGGGTCGCCTTATCTGCTGCATACAGCAGGGCGGATAAGCGAAAGCATGCTACTGCTGGCGCCTCCCTTCTTTCTTTTCCACCTTTTTCTCTTACTCCCATCCCGGCCCCCATTACTAACCTTCCTTCTATAATTCCCAGCTTAATTGACAGCAACCGAAGTGCTACTGGAGTAGAACCATCTGCAGCCACCATCCCACAGCACCTATCGGACGCCTATCGGCAAAAGTCCCTTATAAGACCACGCTGTCCCGTTTCCATGGCGACCTTCAACGTCCGCACTCTAAGACAAACAGGTCAGCAGGCTGCACTCGCACGCACCTTGGACACACTGGGTGTTGATGTGTGTTGTGTGTCCGAAACTAGGATT